TTGCTGCCTGAATCAAAGAATAAAATGCCCTTGTCCGATTGGACTGTCAGTTGAATTGTACCTGAGTACTGTCATCAGAGGCACGTATTTCTCACAGCAAAGGACACAATGATAACTGGCGGTCTCTATTTCAGTGTGGCCATGAATCTTTCGCTCTACATTTAAATCTGAAATTTAAAGAAACTATCCAAGATTCAGAATTCTTATCACCCAGCTATGTTAATAGAGCATTTTGGATATCTTCTTTAAAATTCACACTAAATCCCAAAGTGGCTTTACTACCCCACTGACATGGAAACCACCAGCCACCATTGAAATATTCATATAAGGAATCTGGCACCTTGAGTAATTTTCCATTTACATTCTAATGACAGATAGATTTCACTTTAAACACTTGTTTTAGGATGGCCGTGAAGGTTAAGGGCTTCTGTGAATTAGAGATCAAAAGTTAAGTATTCTGGACAGCTTTCTCAAAATAATGGGTAGCTAGTGGAACAAAGTGGGTATCACAGAACTCAGTCAAAGTGAGATCCTGTGGTTTTGCTGAAACAATATAATTTGCCACATTTGAAGGCCAGCTCTGTCATATTTACTGATTAAGAGATGGATGCAACCCAGTGAACCCTTTCTGTTCTCGTCCTTCTTTCCCTCCTTTTTGTTTTTCCCCTCCCTCTTTTCCTTCCCCCTTCTTTTTGCTTCTTTTCTTTTTCTTTCTTTCTTTCTTTCCTTCCTTCAGAACTTTTCCCTTTTCCTTCATCCTTCCTCCACTCCTTATCTTTCTTCACCCTCCCTTCTTTCCTTTCTTCTCCTTTTCTTTCTTCTCCTTTTTCTTTTTTTCTTCCTTCCCTTCCTACACCTGACCTTGAAACAGCCAGTCCGCTCCATTCCCTTTATTTCCTATTCACAAGACAGAGGACCACTTGAAACCTCTCAATTATTTTAAGTTGGATAACAAAGGGTAAGTTTGCCAGGTTTGGTCCAGATCCATAAAGCCATGTAAGAGCCTTTGTGGTACCAACAAACCAATCAACCAACATACATACACTTTGACTTTTTAGATACAGGTAAATATATAGAAATGGATAGAAAAGTGTCTGTCTACTGAGTGGTTATCATGCTAAGTGATCTAGAGACATGCAGATGTTATAGACTTTATTTGTTCTTGCTTTTTACATATGGATTGAGTTGGGTTAAAGGCAATGGAAAGTGCAATGTGCAATGGATTCTGATCATCCGTGACAATTGATTTGTTATAGTTATATGTCTTTAAGTTTTGGGGTTATTTTTCATTTCAAGAGCGACTTGAGAACTGTAAGTCACTGCTGGTGTGAAAGAATTGCTGTCTGCAAGGACGTTGCCCAGGGGACGCCTGGATGTTTTACCATACTGTGGGAGGCTTGCCTCATGTCACCACATGAGAAGCTGGAGCTGACAGATAGGAACTCACCCTGCTCCCTGGATTCGAACCAGGTTAGCAGTCCTGCCAGCACAAGAGTTTAACCCATTGTACCACCAGGAGCTCTGCCTTTAAGTAATTCTGACTTGTGGCAAATCTAATATCGGCTTTTCTTAGCAAGATGCCTTCCTTAAACTGAAAGAGTCTGACACACTTAAATCACTGGGCAACTTTCCACCTCTTTGTAGTCCTGTCAGCATGTATCACTCCTCCCTCTATCTTGTATTTAAAGGAGTCAATCATTTGAGGTTCACATAGTGTTGACTGATTCTAATTAACCGTTTTATTGTTTTGCTTAAAGTTTTATTGTGTTTTGTATATTTAGCATGCAATATCATAAACCACCTTGGGATTTAAAAAGACGTACAGAAATATCTCACCAAACTAGCATGCTAATGAGATAAAGCCAACCCTTGGTGCCTGCTGGGGTTTGGTTACAGGATCCAATGTCATTGTTTGTAATGGGATTTTGGATCCTGGAAGCAAAGGGGTAGCTGTATATTATTAGGATGCTAGTTTGTTAAGATATGGCATAGCAGAATGATGCCCCTAATATAGAATGGCAAAATTAATGTTGCTTTTCAGATTTTAAAATAAATATTAGCTGTCCCCTGCCACGCATTGCAGTGGCCCATTCTGTGTATATGTGTTTTGTGTGTGTATATATGTGTGTATATATTTGTGTATATATGTGTGTTTGTGTATATATGTGGTTTTGCACATGTGTTGTAATGTATTATTTTATTTTTGGCTTTTTAAGCCTCTTCTACTGCGTTGTTTTTTTTTTTTGGTGTTTTTAAGAGTGATGGTCACTCATTGGCCTGATATGTGTATAGTGTCCAAATTTGATGTTAATTTGTCCAGTGGTTTTTGAGCTATGCTAATCCCACAAATTTTATATAAATTTCCAAGCAGTGGATGATCAAATCTATGGATGCAGAATTTGTAGATTTGGAGGGCTGATGGTTGATCTGGGTAACCTATTACAATCTGTACGGCATTTTCTGCCTCCCCTCTCAAATTAGGTATAGTCCACCCAACTAACAAATCCACACACACACAACCCTGATTCCTTTCCCTGAAGACTATTTCACTGATCCCTTCCTTATCTCCCTTCAAGGGAGCATCTACACTGTAGAATGCAGTTTGACACCACTTGAACTGCCATGGCTCAGTGCTAATCCTGGGAACTGTAGTTTTTAAAGCTTTTTTAGCCTTCCCTGGCAAAGAGTGCTGGTGCCTCATCAAACTACAACTCGCTGAATTCCACAGCTTTGAGCCATGACAGTTAAAGTGGTACAAAACTCTATAGTGTAGAGTAGACATGCCCCAAAGTTACTTAAGGTGGTTCAATGTGTTAGGGAAAACTACCATAAAATAAAGCAAAACATCCAAAAGCATTTGGCTAATTAGCGGGCAGAGTGTGAAGTGCCGTGTGATATGACTATAAAGAATTCAGAGCTTAGGAGACAAACATGCAGAGTCCAATCTTTAAAAAATCGCAAAAGGTTTATTTACAGTAATAAGAATAAATGCATTTCTTAATCATTAAGAACTGGGTCTGAGCTACACTAACACCCATATCTTCTAAAGTTTCAAAGAAAGGGGAGAAACACCACTACACTACATCTCTCTGACACACATGCAGAGAGAGATCTCAAAGTACACACCACATACTTTCCATACTAAAGTGTAAGAAGGCAGAAGCCAGATTCAAAAGCTTGCAGTAGAAAAGTAGCCTATTCTAACTTGTTCCTCACTGAGGACTTCAGACTTGGAATCGCAACAAATTAGAAGAGACCCTCTGGCATTCTTATAGGTGGGCAGATACCAAAATTATAACTGCTAAATGCAGGGGTGTGAGGTAACTCCCAATACCTCCCCCTTTTCTTTGTTAGAAGAGGCCTTTCTAACATTCTTAATAGTATGAGAGAAGAAWCCAAAATCCAATGGGGGGGGGGGAGTATTTTGCACCCTCAGCCTTTTTTTGTTAGACAAGACCTGTCTAGCATTCTTATAGGTGGCAGGAAAAAAACCAAAATCTCATAGGTAACTTTCATACTCCCCCCTCCCCTTAAAGTATTGTTAGAAGAGACATCTCTGGCATACTTATAAATGGTCGAAGATACCAAAATTATAACTGCAGGGTGTGTGAGTTAACTTCCAATATCTACCCCACCCCCTTTTTGTTTTATTAGAAGAGACCTTTCTAACATCCTTAATAGTATGAGAGAAGAAACCAAAATCTGATCTGGGGTGTGTGTGTGTCAGTAATTTGCACCCTCACCTCCTTTTTGGTTTTTTCCCCCTGCCACCTATAAGAATGTTAGACAGGTCTTGTCTAACATTCTTATAGGTGGCAGGGGAAAAAAACCAAAATGTCATATGTAACTTTCATACCCCCCCCCCTTTAAATTGTTGTTAGAAGAGACATCTCTGCCCTTTATGAACCATCATGGAGGTTAAGCTCTTCTGGGGTGGCCCTGCTCTCGATCCCACCTGCTTCGCAAGTGTGGTTGGTGGGGACAGAGACAGGGCCTTCTCAGTTGTAGCTCCTCAACTCTGGAACTCTCTCCCCAGTAAATTTAGATCAGCAGCCCCCCCCCCCCCCTTTTCCTGGCCTTTAGAAACAGAAGAAAGACATGGAAAAAAAGCTTTTGACTAATTAAGTAACACAATACAAACAGTAAATATGGAATATGTGCAATAGACATTTGGAATGGCCCAGACTACGAGTTTGGATCATATGACTTTAATGTTTTTATTAGGTGTTTAATTTTTATATTTCATGTTTAAACGTCCTCTTATCACATGGTAAATTGTATTATTGAATGTATACTTAGTTATATGTTGTTGCTTTATGATTTGGTTTATGGATGTAAGGCACTGAATTTCGCCATTCTTTTTGTAAACTGCTTTGAGACCCACCCCTCCCCCCCCCAAGGGTGAGAAAAGCGGGATATAAATACTGAAAATATATAAATAAATAAATTCTGATAGGTGGGTGAAGATACCAAAATTATATCTGCAAGGGGTGTGAGGTAACTCCCAATACACCCCCCCCACACACACACACACACTTTTTTGGGAGGGGGGTTTGTAAGAGACCTTTCAAACATTTTTAATAGAATGAGAGATGAAACCCAAATCCGATTGGGGGGATCAGTAATTCGCACTTTTGCCCCCTTTCTTTGTTAGAGACCTGTCTACCATTCTTATAGGTGGCAGGGGGAAAAAAACCACAAAACCCCATAGGTAACTTTCATACTTCTCTTTAAATTATTGTTAGAAGAGAGCTCTCTGGCCTTCTTGCAGGTGGGAGAAAAAACCCAAGTCCCATCTTTTGGGGGGGGGGGGGGGACAGGGTGAGGTTGGTCCCCTCTCCCGCGCGCCTTTCTTTCTTTCTTTCCTTCCCCCCCCCCCCTTTCCCTCCCGGGCTGGTGGTCCCCTCGCGTGCGCGCCCGCGGTGGGGCTCTTCTCCTCTCCTCTCCTGCGGGGAAGGGGAAGGGTGGGGGTGGGTGGGTGGGAAGGGGATGGCCAGAGGGTTTCCATCAGGAGATCACGCAAGGCAGGCTCGGCACGCAACGGGGAGGTGACACTCCAGAGGATGGGAAACTTTGGCAACGGCCCTGGGGCTGGATAAATACAGAGAGAGAGAGAGAGAGAGAGAGAGAGCCAGAGAGAAGGAGCCAGAGAGAGAAAGAGGAGGGCTCTCTCTCCCTGACTCGGAGCTTTCTTCCAAAGGAGCTCGGCTTCCCTCGAAAGTGAAAAGGAGAGCAGGAGGAGAGCAGCCACCCACTGAGGACCCACCCTTCCTCCCGGGCGCACCATGAGCCAAGGAGAGATGGACGAAGCCGCTTTGGTGAACATCAGGTCAGTCTGCGCTGCCTCTGGGAACATCCACGCTGAAGCCCTGATGCACTTCGATACCACTTCCACTACCATGGCTCGATGCTAGAGGGATCTGAGAGTCGCACATGGTTTTAGCCGTCTGTGGCAAAGAAAGGTAGTGCCTCACAAAAATTTAGAATCGCAGGATCCCATAGCATTGAGCCATGGCCGATTTTTTTTCCGTATCAGGAGCAACTTGAGAAACTGCAAGTCGCTTCTGGTGTGTGTGAAAGAATTGGCCGTCTGGAAGGACGTTGCCCAGGGAACGCCCAGATGTTTTGATGTTTTACCATCCTTGTGGGAGGCTTCTCCCATGTCCGCACATGGAGAGCTGAAGCTGACAGAGGGAGCTCATCCACACTCTCCCCGGATTCGAACCTGGGACCTGTCTTCAGTCCTGCCGGCACAAGGGTTTAACCCATTGTGCCACTGGGGGCTCCGCCATGGCAGTTAAAGTGGTGTCAAACTACATTCATCCTACAGTGTAGATCAGGGGTCCTCAAACTAAGGCCCGGGGGCTGGATACAGCCCTCCAACATCATTTACTCGGCCCTCGCTCAGGGTTAACCTAAGTCTGAAATTACTTAAAAGCACACAACAACAACAACGACAATCCTACCTCATCACCCACACTTCCCATTGAAATACTAATAGGTTTATATTTGTTAAAGTTGTTCTTCATTTTAATTATTGTACTGTTTGTAAGTGTTTCTTGCATTACAAATGAGATATGTGCAGTGTGCATAGGAATTCATTCTTTTTTTTTTCAAATTATAATCCGGCCCTCCAGTGGTTTGGGGGACTGTGACCTGGCTGTCTGTTTAAAAAGTTTGTGGACCCCTGGTGAAGATGCAACCCAAGAAGGCAGAACCTACAACACAGGACAGCATTAACGGAAGATGCCCTTGTTCTCTCAAAGCCTTGCGGGTTGGATCTACACAGCCAAATCATGCAGTTTGAACGGCATTATACACTTAGAGACTCAAACAGTGCCACTTGAATTGCACTCAACTGCATCATATGGGTCCACAATGATCATATAATGCAGCTCAAACTGGTGGGTTGCTATGAGTTTTCAAGGGCTGTATGTCCATGTTCCAGAAGCATTCTCTCCTGACATTCCACCTGTATCTATGGCAGGCATCCTCAGAGGTTGAGGCGAAACGTAGTCACAGGCAAAACATCAGGAGAGAATGCTTCTGGGACATGGCTATACAGACCGGAAAACTCATAGCAACCCAGCAATTCCAGCCATGAATACTTTGACAATACATCAAACTGCATCGTTTGGCAGTGTAGATCCAGCTGAGATCTGTGGTGACATCTTTGAGGCTCATTGGCATAGCTACATGTTGTCACTGAGCCTTTAGTACAGCTACAAAATGGGTATCAGACTCTCAGGCAAGAATTCTGCCTCCTTGTTGTGTTTCAGTAGCACTGTCATAACATACTTCAGTCAAACGTCTTCAGGTATTCAAAGAAATGTGGGAATCCGACTCACAGACAAAGAGTTCTGTCTCCCCCTCCAATGACATTTAAATGTTGGACCAGGACTCGTAAGTTCTGTATTCTGAACCTTTCTCAGCCATAACATTACTAAGGTTGATTTGGAAGCAGTCTTCCTTTTTTTCCTCATAAGATTTTCTGGGAGAATGAATTGAGGAGGGGGAAAATCTCAGTTAAGATAAATGTATACCAATACGAGCTATTGGGAAGAAGGAGGGAATATAGATGTAAACAATAAGTAAGCAGTAATTTGAGTAAAACCAGTAAGTTTCTAAATGTTCTAATTTAGGCTGTAGGTGCCCAAGGCTTTCCAGAAGCAGAGATAATGATTTTTTGGCATCATCAGGGAAGTATATTGCATAAAGTTATGCTAAGAGCAGAAATCTATGGAACTGAAATTAGAAGTTGCAAGAACATTTGTCTGGCTCCAACCAATAGATAGACAACTTATTTTACTGAGTTTGTAATACTTACTTTATAATTCATTTTTTAAAAATTATAAAGAAAAAAGCAGTTTTAATTAGATGCGGGAGTGACACACTAAGTTTCAATAAAGAGGAGTGTGATATTCAATATTTCATAGTAGCAAATGAAAGCTTCATTTAAAGCATTTAGATCTGCTTTGTTACTGTGTTCAGTAAGGCTTTTCACATCTTAATAGTGCTGACATTTTAAAAGTGAGTTAGCCAATTAATTTTCATCTATTTTGCATTTTTATGTGTTATCTGATGATAGTCTGTTTATTTAACCCTATCTTTTCCTGGCGCATTTCTTCTTTCTTAAATAATCATATGACAGGCAACCAATTCAGAACCTTTGTCCATTACTATTTTTGTTTCAGGAAAGGCTAGATGTGTAAAAAATGCTAGTCATCTTTTTTTTATTTCTATGAACACTACACTGAACTTTATATTCAAAAATATTCTGTGAGCTTTTACTCTGGGTTGCTATGAGTTTTCTGGGTTGTATGGCCATATTCCAGAAGCATTCTCTCCTGACATTTTGCCCACATCTATGGTAGGTATATGGACAAAATGTCAGGAGAGAATGCTTCTGGAACATGGCCATTCAGCCCGGAAAACTCACATCAATCCAGTGATTCTGGCCACGAAAGCCTTCGACAGATTTGCTGTATTTGTGCAATCTGTGAATTATAAAACTATAAAGTTAGAAGATAATCATGTCATCTTTCAAGAGAAGAATAAGAAAATTCTTTTCACTGTGAATCTAACAGTCTTATGCTTTACTGTATAGCAATGGCTTTGTTTTTATTTGTGTTTCTATAACTACCTAGCTTTAAATTCATATTGATGTATTGAACTAAATATATGTTTAATGAAGAGACCACAAGGGCCATCCAAGCCAACCTCTACCATGTAGTTAAGAATTTAGAACTCCTAAATTGAACCGAATTGTAGTTTTCAGAATGAGTGCTGGACTTTGTTATGCATTTAGGGTAAACTGAAGTCCAAGATGACAGTTCATTTTAGAGACATTACCCTGTTCTTATATGCTGGAAAGTGAAGTGTTCCATTAAGTGAAAAAGATAACCCAAATTTGGAAATATAGCTGTAATTGTTTCTACTGCTCCGAGTTACCCTAATGAATCTGAACTATAGCCTTATGAAAGAACCATATTTTCAATTTTGGATTCTACATGATATCCACCAGTCTCACTTCCAATCATTTCCTATTCAGGCTCTGCTTCAATACACATTTGACAGTAAACGGGAACCCACTGACATGCATAGGCTTGTACAGTATACATCCTTGTCTTCCACACAGCTATTGTACCTAGGTGGGTTAACTGTGTTAACAAAGGTAATCCTCCATACATCTGATGAAGTGGGATGCAGTCTTCGACAGTTTTGTTTGGAGGATACCTTGGTTGTTTTTGCTGCAACAGACAGCATTAGTTGCCCCACTGGTATCCATCTTTGCACATTTTGGCAATAATTGCAAATTATTAATCCTAATCCTCATCCTCATCATTCATCCCAACCCCATTGTCCTCTCTCTGTTTTACAGTCTTTATTTTGTTTGTGCTCATAACTAATAGATTAGTTTGATTGACAGACTGTAACTGGTCCAAGGCCACACAAAAGGTGGAGACTTGAGCCAAAATCCAATCGTAGCAACCTTTGTTGCTGGCTGTACCTTCCAGCAAGATAATCATTAAAGTAATGGTGGGGAAAAAAATATTTTTTTCTAGAAAGCTGGATCCATGGATTGACTAAGGGAAAAGTGCAATTCTGCATTCCACATTTTTTTCATGGTTCTTGGACAGAATCATTTAAAACTTGGGTGCTGCCTGCTTACCTGTCTACTTGCCTTACAGTATTTATTTTTATTACATTTGATCCAAGGGTAGCTCCTCATCCAATTAAAATAATTAAGAAAAACATTATAATTTGCAATTCATATGTAGCTGGATATAAAGTGCTGTGATTTCATTTGGACTTACTCTCAAATCAGTGTGCACTGGATGACATTTTTAACTCAATGGAGCTGACTGATTCTATTTAACCAGTCTCAAAACTATAATCTTATGTTCCAGGGCTTAAAACACATGGAAATAAATCAGTTTCAAGACTGTCTTCCATTGATGCCTCTAAAGCAGGCATGGGCAAACTTCGGCCCTTCCGGTGTTTGGACTCCTGAGGCTGTTAGGAATTATGGGAGTTGAAGTTCAAAACACCTGCAGGGCTCAAGTTTCTCAGCCTATGCCTGCATTACCAATTGAACATCTCTAATATGGTTTTCAAATCCAAAATACTCCCAAAACACAACAACAACACTTTTATGGGTAGCTGAGATGATGACGCTTTTGCTTTGTGGTGGCTCAGTGTGCACAAGCTTCATTTCACGCAGAAATGTTTAGGTATAATAGAAATCTTAAGGGTTGCCATGTCCAAGGTCTGTCATTATGTAAGGATATGGGATTAGTTTAGTGCCCTCCCTTCTGGCCTTTAGAAAGAGAACAAATACATGGTTATGGGACCAAGCTTTTGACTAGTAAAGTAACACAGTACAAGAAGTTAATATACAGTATGTGTGAAGAGAGAGAGGGCCAGGAGACAGTTCCACCTTGTCTCCTGTGCTATGCTAATAATATAATATAATATAATGTAATATATTGTATATACATATAATATTTATAATATTACAATGTAATACAATATACTAATATATTATAATTATATATTTTATATTACATGTAATATTACTAATAATATTACAATATAATGGTATCGTACAATATAGTAATATATAATATTGATATTGTACTATGCTAATAATATAATATATTTTGTGTGTGTGTATATTGTATATACATATATTTATAATATTATAATGTAATACAATACTAATAATATATTATAATTACTTATTTTATATTACATGTAATATTACTAATAATATTACAGTATAATGGTATAGTACAATATAGTAATATATAATATTGATATTGTACTATGCTAATAATATAATATCATATATTTTGTGTGTGTGTGTGTATAAAAAACTGGCTCTTCTGTTGTGCTTTTGGAGAATGACCACTCAACCCATCTGGTTGTCTTAGCCTACAGCTGCCCTCAGAATAAAGCATCTCTCCCCCCCCCCCACCTAAAATGGCTAAATCCCATGGTTCCTCCCTATTGGGCTCCTTTTCTACAAATGCACTTTTATCCCTATCTCACCCAGGGTTTTAACTTTTTAACATTTTACCTTATACCTCTGGCCCGTTCTCTGTGTCTGGTTTTACTGTGCTGTTTTATATTGTTGATTTTGTTATTTTATAGTTTGTTATGATGTATTTTGTCATTGTGTTTATTATGTTGTATTATTTTGGGCTTGGCCTCATGTTAGCCGCCCCAAGTCCCCTTTGGGGAGATGGTGGCAGGTTATAAATAAAGTGTATTATATATCTTGTAAGCAGCTCTGAGTCCCCTTCGAGGTGAGAAGGGCGGATATAAATGTCATAAATAAATAAATAAACAATGTGCAATTGACATCTGGAATGGCCTGGTCTACGGGTTTGGATCATGTGATTTTAACATTTTTAATAGGTGGTTTTATTTTATTTATTTTTTTCATGTTCAAATTTCATTTTATCTTAGGGTTAATTGTCTTATTAAATTTATGCGTAATTATATGTAATGTTTAGATTTATGATTTGTTTTTATAGGCATGTGAGGCACTGAATTTTGCCATTATTTGTGGTAAACCGCTTTGAGTCCCCTCCAGGGGTGAGAACTGTGGCATATAAATATATAAATACAGTAAACAATACAGTAATAAATAAATAAATAAAAACATGCCTTCCAAAATCCGGGGTGTGGGTGGAGATATCCTAAATCCCCATTCTGCTCCTCCTATGTATTTTGGGCGAAGGGATCCTCTCAACCTCAGCAACGAGGCTCACAGGCACAGTGTCTTAAACGTTGCCGTGGCAACCAACGCCTGAGACACAGGGAGCCGAGGCGGTGCTTTTAAACTGTGCAGCTCCAGCCCCGCCTCTTTCGGGGTGGGCGGGGCCTCCCCCCCCCCCGGGCGCACCAAAACAAAGGCACGTGCACGGGGAGGCCTCTGCGGAGGCGGCAAATTCAAACGCGAAGGGAGCGCCGCCGAGGTGTGCCTGAGGCCTCCTTGCATTGTGAGGGCCGGGCTTCTGGGAGTCATTGCCTTAACTCTTGCTTTGCTTCCTTGCAGCGTCCGCCCGAGGAGCCTGGAGGAAGCGCCGGGGAGCGGCGAGGCCCGCCTGCGAGGGCCGCTCCTGCTGCTGCTGCTCCTGCTGCTGGCCGCTCTGCACCGGGCGCGCCGCGGAGGGCAAGGGCGCCGAGGGCTCCTGCTCCCGCCGGGCCCGTTCCCGTGGCCGCTGGTGGGCAACGCGGCTCAGCTGGGCCGCGCGCCTCACTTAGCGCTGGGGCGCCTGGCGGGCGTGTACGGGCCGGTGTTCCGCCTGCGGCTGGGCTGCTGGCCCGTGGTGGTGCTGAGCGGGGAGCGCGCCATCCGGCAGGCGCTGGTGCGGCAGGGGGAGGCCTTCGCGGGCCGGCCGCCCTTCCCGTCCTTCGCGCTGGTGTCGGGCGGGCGCAGCTTGGCCTTCGGGGCGTCCTCGTCGTCGTCGGCGTGGCGCGCGCAGAGGCGGGTGGCGCGAGCGGCCGTGCGGGCCCAGACGGCGCGGGCGGAGGCGGCGCTGGTGGCGGAGGCGGCGGCGCTGGTGGCCCTGCTGGCGCGTCGCGGCTCCGGCGGCGCCTTCCTCGACCCCGCGCCCAGCCTGGTCCTGGCCGTGGCCAGCCTCATGAGCGCGCTCTGCTTCGGCCGCCGCTACGGGCACGACGACGACGAGTTCCGCCGCCTGGTGGGCCGCAACGAGCAGTTCGGGCGCGCCGTCGGGGCCGGCAGCCTGGTCGACGCCCTGCCTTGGCTGCGCCGCTTCCCCAACCCCGTCCGATCCGCCTTCCGCGCCTTCCGAGCCCTCAACCGGGACTTCTACGGCTTCGTGCGGGGAAAGTTCCTCCTCCGGCGGCTCCGCGGGCGACTCCGGCCCGGGGACCGCGCCCGCGACCTCATGGACGCCTGCATCCGCCTCCAGCAGGACCAGCCGGGGATGCCGCTCGAGCACGTGCCCGCCACCGTCACCGACATCTTCGGCGCCAGCCAGGACACCCTCTCCACCGCCCTCCAGTGGCTCCTCCTCTGCCTCGTCAGGTGCGGCCCCGCTCTCCGCGCCCTCCTCTAGGCCAGGCCTGGGCAAGCTTGGCCCCTCCAGGTGTTGTGGACTCCAACTCCCACCATTCCTAACAGCCCCAGGTCCCTTCCTTTTCCCCCTCAGCCACTTAAGAATGTTGAGTTTGGCCAATCAAAATCCATATGCAAATTAGTACGTCGAAGTAGCCCATGCATGGGCCAACTCCAGGTGTTTTGGACTCCAACTCCCACCATTCCCAATAGCCTCAGGCCCTTCCTTTTCCCCCCTCAGCCGCTTAAGAGTGTCAGAATGTTGAAGCTGGCCAATCAAAAACCATATGCAAATTAGCAGGTAGAGATAACCCATGCATGGGCTAACTTGGACCCTCCAGGTGTTGTGGACTCCATCTCCCACCCTTCCTAACAGCCTCAGGCCCTTTCCCTTTCCCCCTCAGCGACTTAAGAATGTTAGAATGTTGAGTCTGGTCAATCAAAATCCATATGCAAATTAGTAGGTAGATATAGCACATGCGTGGGCCAGCTTGGACCCTCCAGGACCTGAAGCAATTAGGAATAGTGGGAGTCCAAAACACCTGCAGGGCTTAAGTTTGCCCATTCCTGTCATAGAATCATAGAGTTGGAAGACAACCCAAGGCCTATACAGCTCACTCCCATCCTAATGTGTAGGTGGAATCTCTGTTCTACATGCCCAAATTTGGCCCTGCTCTGGACACATTTTCTCCTGACCTTTCACCTGCACCTGTGCCTGGCACCTTCAGAGAATCTTTCAAGATGTCGGAGAAATGTCTGGAGAAAATGCTGCTAGGACACGGCCGTAAAGCCACGCAACTCCTCAGTGATTCTTGCCGTGAAAGCCTTCTGACAACACTCAGCTCTCTCTCTCTCTCTCTAATCTCTGTTCGACGTGCCCAAATTTGCCTGCTCTAGAAACATTTTCTCCTGACCTTTCACCTGCACTAGTGGCTGGCAGCTTCAGAGAATCTTCCAAGATGCCGACCATAGATGCAGGCAAAACGTCAGGAGAAAATGTTGCTAGGACACAGCCATAAAACCACACAACAACCCAGTGATTCTGGCCATGAAAGCCTTCTGATATATATATATCTTTGTCATTGTCAAGGGAGCCAATATGGCATAAAAGGGCTAAGTTTTGGACTAAAGCTCAAGGACTAAAGCTCAAGGGTTCCAATTCCTGCTCTAGATGATGTGCGGCAATCGGAGAGTCTCATAGAGGAAGGCCTTCCTCTATGGGCCGGCGTTGGCCATAGACACCTCCAAGGTCATGTGGCCGGTATGACTGCATGGAGTGCCGTTATTTTCCCGCAGAAGTGTTATCTATTTATCTGCTCACATTTGCATGTTTTCGAACTGCTAGATTAGCAGAAGCTGGGGCTAACAGCAGGAGCTCAGCACTAACCCTCTCCGCAGATTCGAACCGCCAACTTTTTGGTCAGCAATTTCAGCAGCTCAGCACTTTAACCCACTGCGCCATGAGGGGTCGATAACATTGTTTGGGGTTAAAAAACATAGCCACAAACTGGATATTTTATAAGCATCTAGCCCAGAAGAAAGTGATTTTATCTTTCCTTGGTTTTGGATTACTGCTATCTTGTGGTCTAGGGTGAAACATTGGTTCTTACCAAAATTTTCATCCCAGACCACAAAATAAAGTATCTTTGTTAAAACAGGAACAAAGAAATACTACTTGATTTTTTGGGGGGTGGAAAAAGAGATGTGGTGCAGAATCTAATTTCGAGATAGAACAAAATCATAGGTAATCTAAATATTGCCTACTTTAAAAAATGACAGACGAAAAATGCAAAAGGGCAGCAGGACAAGAGTAACACGATTGCTTTTGAATAACTAATACTGACATTCTGGGAAGCTTGCCAAATTGAAAAGTTGTTTAAGAAAACAAAATGTAATTTACTCTCTGTGCTGGTAAGATGTTTCGTTAGAGAAAAGCTAGGGAAAAGACAACAGGATAATGGGGTGGATTTAGATTTTTGCCCTCCAGAAATGAAAAGATTACTTCTGTTCATGGAAGGATTTTGAATAGAGGAGCAATATCATCACATTATAGCAGTAACATAATAACATTGGCTGATATGACTGTATTAAGCAAGTATATCATCTATATTGGCAAATAGTGCATCTTAATTCCTAGTGAAAGTGCTACAATTAACTTCTTAAGCCCTAAACAGCTTGGGGTAAAAGAGCATCTCCTACCATTTCTGCCTAACTGGAGCCTAACTCCCCAGATGCTTTCACTCAGTGTGTTTCGGTGAGTGGCCTTTTGAGTGAATCTGTGAATACCGCCAAATCTGCTTTGTGTTGTTGAAGGCTTTCATGGCTGGAATCACTGAGTTGCTGTGAGTTTTCCAGGCTGTATGGCCATGTTCCAGAAGCATTCTCTCCTGACATTTTGCTCACATCTATGGCAGGCATCCTCAGAGGTTGTGAGGTCTATTGGAAACTAGACAAGTGGGGTTTATATACCTGTGGAATGTCCAAGGTAGAAGAAAGAACTCTTATCTGCTTGAGGCAAGTGTGAATGTTGAAAATGGCCACCTTGGTTAGCATTTAATAACCTTGTAGCTTCAAAGCCTGGCTGATTGTTGCTTAGCAGAATCCTTTGTTGGGAGGTGTTAGCTGGCCCTGATTGATTCATGTCTGGAATTCCCCTGCTTTTTGGGTGTTGCTCTTTATTTACTGTCCTGATTTTAGAATTTTTAAATATAGTAGAGTCTTGCTTATCCAACCTTCGTTCATCCGACGTTCTGTATTATCCAACACAGTCTGCCTCCCTCCCCGATCCACAGCTGTTTCAATACATTGCGATGTTTTGGTGCTAAATTAGTAAATACAGAAATTACTACATAATGTTACTGTGTATCGAACTGCTTTTTCTGTCAATTTGTTGTAAAACATTATGTTTTGGTGCCTAATTTGTAAAATCATAATGTAATTTAGCATTTAATGGGTTTTTTGCTTAATCCCTACTTATTATCCAACATTCTCGCTTATTCAGTGTTATACTGGCCTGTCTATGTTGGATAAGCAAGACTCTACTGCTAGCCAGATTTTGTGGTTTCCTCCTTTTTGTTGAAATTGTCCACATGCTTATGGATTTCAATGACTTCTCTGTGTAGTCTGACATGGTGGTTGTTAGAATGGTCTCAGATGTTGTCTGTTCCCAAAAATCAGCTGTGGTTCTCTTGCTGTTTCTCCCCAGGTATCCAGAAGTGCAGACTAAACTGCAAGAAGAAATAGATAAAGTAGTTGGCCGAGACCGCTTGCCTTGTGCCGAGGACCAGCCCCATTTGCCTTATGTGATGGCTTTCCTTTACGAAACCATGCGTTTCAGCAGCTTTGTGCCGGTTACCATTCCTCATTTCACCACAGCGGACACCACCTTGATGGGTTACCACATCCCTAAAGACACAGTGGTCTTCGTCAATCAGTGGTCCGTAAATCACGATCCAGAGAAATGGCCGTCGCCGGAGGATTTCAACCCAGCCAGATTCCTGTATGAGAATGGATCCCTTAATAAAGACCTCACCAGCAGCGTCATGATCTTCTCGGTGGGCAAGCGCAGGTGTATTGGGGAAGAGTTATCCAAACTCCAGCTCTTCCTCTTTATTGCCATCCTGGTCCACCAGTGCAATTTCACTGCCAATCCAAAGGAAGATTCTAAAATGGATTTCACCTATGGCTTGACTACTAAACCAAAGCCATTTACACTTCACGTCAAACTGAGAGATAACTTGGATTTGTTAGATAAGGCAGTCCAGAGACTTCAGGCAGAAAAAGACTCTGAGAATTCTTTGTCCGATATGTGAGCTCAGAAGTTTGACATTGTAGTACTTGTGTAAGGATCTTGTTCTACTTTCCTCATTTTATATTTAAATGAATTGTATTAAAGCATAATGTATTTATCACAGTTACTTAGTATGATACAAAGTAGAAGAACTTGTTCTTTCTTTAAAACCTCTGTTTGGTTTGTGAGTGGCATTTCTATTAATATTTAAGAGCTAGAGGCATCAGAGTCATTTTCTAAAATGTTTTTTTGAAGATGAGGGTATTTCCACTGAATTTAGTGTTGAATTGCCATGCTTAGTTTATCCACATTTTATGAACGATTCACATAATATCTTCTAATCGTTATCTTTCATATGTTCCCTAAAGTTTTCCATTTTCTCAGCCCCAGAAAGCTTTTCCTCTTCACAAGTGCCGAAATCTTTCATTGTTTTTCCATCTTTAAAGTTGCCATCTTCTCAAGTTGGGTTTTAAGGCGAGTGATGTTCAGCTCAGCATGTTTTATCACCCAGATTCATTTTTGAAACCGTTCTTATTCAGAGCTTGGAAAATTGGCCATGATGGTTGAGGGAACCCAGGAGTTCTTACCCAAATGAATGCTAAAATGATTTTTAAAAGGTGAATAATAGAACCATAGAGTTGCAAGAGACCTTGTGGGCCATCCAGTCCAACCCCCTGCCAAGAAGCAGGAAAATTATATTCAAAGCGCCCCCAACAGATGGCCATCCAGTCTCTGCTTCAAAGCTATCTATCTTTTAATTCTATCATTTCAAAATTTAGCATTATAGTATTAAAGCATTATGACACAGCTAACAATTTAAGTAGTATTTGGAATGTGTCCAGAGAAGGGTCTGGAGAACAAGCCCTATGAGGAGCGGCTTAAAAAGCTGGGCATGTTTAGCCTGCAGAAGAGAGGGCTAAGAGGAGACATGATGAGGGCCATGTATAAATATGTGAGAGGAAGTCATAGGGAGGAGGGAGCAAGCTTGTTTCTGCTGCCCTGGAGACTAGGAGGCGGAACAAGGAGCCTCCACCACACTGTGGGGCAGAGAGTTCCACTGCTGAACAGCTCTAACAGTTAGAAAGTTCTTCCTCATGTTCAGGTGGAATTTCCTTTCCTGTAGTTTGAAGCCATTGTTCTGCATCCTAGTCTCCAGGGCACCAGAAAACAAGCTTTAATACTGTAATGCTAAATTTTGAAATGATAGAGTTAAAAAGAGTTAAAAAGATATATTTCTAGGCATTACAATTTCAGAAACACAACTGGGTTTTTAAAAATTGCTTCAATGTTACAGCACAACAACACATTCGTTGAAGTATTAATGTCTCTGTGTGTAATTTTTCTGATTTACCTTTTTTAAATCAACAGAGTGATAAAATATAACCCATTGCTAAGATTACGTATGGTTCACTTCAAATGCTCAACCAATGTGCTTTTCTCCTTCCTAGCCAGTGGGGTCTGTGTCTTTTTCATTGATACAGGTAAATTGTATGTAAAATTAACCTATCCTATTTTAGTTACAACATCAACTCAAAAATCTGGGTTGACCTATCCACAAGTCAGTAAGTACTAGACGTTAACTCTCACAAAATAAAAAGAATCAGCCCCTTTTCTGAGTAGAGTGGCAAAAGGCAAGAGTTTAGTCTGTCAAAGGAGAACAAAAAAGAAGCACTGACCCCCTATACTCTCTCTGCTAGGCTTGGGCCCAAATCGGTCTGAACAAAAATAATTTGTAATATTCTGAAGTCTGTTTCATATAATCTCCGAAAACAATAGGTAGGAGAGAATCGAAAAGCTTTGCAAAATGGATTAAGAGAGCCAGATTTTATCAGCTATAGGAAAGGATAGAGTTAAGCCTGCAATATACCCAAGGCAGGGGTCTGCTGTGAGGCTCCTGGAGAAAATGGGATTATTGCAATGTCTTTTTCTCCCTCTCCAACAGCAGCAGCAGCGTCTCTCCCTTTCTTTTTGGAAAGTTTCCTAGGCTCCTCCTCCAGAGAGGGCTCTGCTAAGAACTCGCTTTCCCAGCAGCACTTACATGGAGCAGGCAATGAAATGTCTCTGAGTTCCTCTTGGAGCATGATGGCAGTTGAAGTTCTCTCTCTCTGTTTCTCAGCCAATAAAAAGTCTGGTTGTGTCCATGCTACGATTGGTTGAGAATGGACACAACCAACAACTACAATTCCCAGAGCCTTTTCTCGCGGTTTGTCTTATTTTTAAAAAAATGTTATATAAAAAACTTAAAATAAGTCTGAAAAATCAGTAGGTTGGTGAAATATTTTGAAACTTGGCAGGCCTGCACTTATAAATGGGGTCTAAAACTGAGGTAGGTTTCATGCAGATAGGCCTTAAAATGACTGAATATTGAGCCTTTAAAGTTTTTCATTGTAGTCAATGGGCCAAAACAACAACACCCCTCCTGATTCGAATAATTTATCGGTGTACAGAATGAGGGGTTAGCCGAAAATGGACCCTGAAACGGCATGCCTTTTGGCCAGATTGCTCACCTCTACTCTCCACTTTAGGCCACTTCTGGCCTATTTGGAGGTCTGGGTGCAAAAATTGCAATGTTGGCTGGACCAGTTGGCCTCCTGAAGAAGTGTTAGCACTCTGCCTTTTCTGTGGAATGATCCTCAACTTGTCCATAAATCATATCAAATCTATAATTTTGGCCCCAAAATTTGCCCTCAACTTACACAGGAAACCAACTTATACATGAGTATTTATGGTATAAAAACTGGAATATTCCTTGTACTACAATACAGAAAGCCAGTTACAGTTCTCTTTGCAAATTAACAGTAAAAGAGAAATAATTGGCAGTAAAATATATCAATCTTAAATCTACCTTAGGTCTTCCCTAACCAGCTATGAAGGTTAAAGATCTAGTGCCTTAACATCTGATATTGCAGTTTCTCCCTTTGTCCTGTCAAAAGGAGATGTTAGAATTGTAACTGTGAATAACCAATGCTTTTCAGTGCCTTGGAAATCAGATATTTTTAACATTTCAGCTCAGGCTTTTTATGCAAAAAATAAATGAAAGATTACACCATTTTATTCTGAAAGCTAAGTATAAGTGAGCATGCATTATGTGTTACATCTACTCAGCATATTTTGACTGAGTTTAAAGAGATGTGTGAATTGTCAACTTCTTTTACATTAACCCATAAATTGAAATAATGCAATATTTTTATTCAGTGCCTTAATTTTATTAATGAAAAATGATTTACGTTTAACCAGCCTAACCTTTTTTGTTAGCCCTCTGTTAATGGGTTACGGTAATACACAAGACAACAGAGGAATACGTTCCTGAACAGAAACAGGAAATTGGGGATAATAAAAAGGAACAACTTCTACCAGAAATGACCATAAAGTTGCCTTGGAGGATCTAGAAAATTCCTAGAGGGGACATGTTTTGTTGAACGTGAGCAGATGAAACTGTGGGTATTGATCTTGTGGGTATGGGGAGGGGGGGGATCATACTTTATATAAAGACTAGCTTAGGTACTTGGTGATGCCTGGGTTAGGTAATTTGTAAAGCTATTTTTTAGAAAAATTCTTTTTCTAAGACTAACTTTGGTTTTTTATTAATGCTTTGTTTTTTTATTAATGCTTCCATTAGAAAACGTAGAAGGATATAGTGAACTATAACTCTCAGTATCAAAGATCATTTTCTTGTAAACCCTGCCAGTATTTAAAGTTTGTCACGTCAGATATATGTGTCAAGTTTGGTTAAGAGCCATTGTCAGTTGGGTTCACAGTGTTCTTTCCTTGTGAGTGAACTGCAATTCCCAAAATTGTGGGTTAATTTATCCAAACCCCACTAGTATTCAAAGTTGGCCATTTTGAAAATACATGCCATTTGGTCCAGATCCATCATTGGTTTGTTTCACAGCGCTCTCAACATGCAGGTGACCTACAACTCTTAAAGGCCCAATCCCCCCAAACCCTGCCAGTTTTCAAAGTTGGCTATAATGGGTATGCATATCACATTTGGTCCAATTCTATCATCAGTTGGGTTCACAGTGCTCTTTGATTGTGAGTGAACTATAACTTCCAAAATTGTGGGTCAATCTCTTCCAAACCCCACCAGTATTCAAAGTTGGCCATATTGGGTGCGTGTGCCAAGTTTGGTCCAGATCCATCATCAGTGGATTCAGTATTTTCTGTTGGGTATGGGGACGGACGCTGTGTGCCAAGTTTGGTCCAGATCTGTCATTGGTGGGAACCACAGTGCTCTCTGGAAACTGGAGCTGTCTTGGAAATCTGTCACCCACAGATTTCCCCTAAACCCCTCCAGTATGTTCTGTTGGTCATGGGGGTTTGGTGTGCCAAACTTGGTCCTGATCCATAATCGGTGGGGTTCAGAGTGCTCTCTGGATGCAGGGTGAAGTACAACTCCCACCCAGGTGGGTCAGTCCCTCCAGTATTTTCTGTCGGTCATGGGGAGGGAGTTGTGCCAAGTTGTTTTCACATATCTATGATTGTGTGGAAGTTGTGTGAACCTCCAGATGTTGCTGCACTGGAGCCCTGTCAGCCTTAACTAGTATTTCTAATGGAGATGGATTATTGCATAAAAAGTCTAACGAGAACTGGAGAGCCAGGCATTCCCTGATTTAAAAGGAATCAGTAAACTCAAGCAATTTTTCATATACTCAGTGTTCTTTCTTTTCCTATTTTTTATTGCCGTAGAATCCATAAAGCAGAATCTATAAACAAAGTTGAACATTATTGGAAGGAGACTGTCCTCAGGTATTTTGTAGAATATAAAAAGTGCTTTTGATATTGCAGAACTTAGCCTTCACCTGTGAAAAGCTCTCTAGTGCAAAACATTTTGATCCCCAGGTCTACATTAGATCTGTCATTTGGGAAATTTTTTTTTTCCAATTGTACTTCTGTAAAGGTGTATGCATATTATAGATTAGAGCATGTCAGGCTTCAATGGATATTTCCCATGATCATTAATTTTAGAAAATGCTGATTGCAGTTTTCTTTACCTTTTTCCCCCACCGAAGCTTTAAAATACATATGTCTGATTAATATGACATTTGTACATGCTGTTGAACAGTTGTATGGTTACCCTGGTATGATTTTAAATCCTATGTTTGGTTTAATGGCCATTAGACCTCTGGATCGTTTTTCTAAAATAGATGATTGTATCACCCAACTATTCATTAAAGGTAATCTATTGCTAGATCTACTTTGTTTTTTTCTTCCTGATGTTTTAAGTCTTATATCTACTTAGACTCTACTTCATACCTCTTTTCAGCCATCACACATTACTTTTCCTGGCTTTCTGCTTCAAAAGTGAAGTTGTGAATAGAATATATGGTAAGAATGTTTCATCACAAATATATTCCGATTATGATGTGATTGGATAAAGGTAAAGGTTTCCCCTGACATTAAGTCCAGTCGTGTCTGACTGGGGGGTGGTGCTCATCTCTATTTCTAAGCTGAAGAGCCGGCGTTGTCTGTAGACACCTCCAAGGTCATGTGGCCAGCATGACTGCATGGAACGCCGTTACTTTCCCACAGAAGTACCTATTGAGCTACTCACATTTGCATGTTTTCGAACTGCTGGGCCTAACAGTGGGAGCTCACCCTGCTCCCCGGATTCAAATCGCCAAAATTTTGGTCAGCAAGTTCAGCAGCTCAGCAGTTTAACCCACTGCGCCACCAGGGGGACCATGATTGGATATGCAGGTGCATATACCATATTTACTCAAGTTTAACGCTCACCTTGTTTGGCTAAATTACGTCACTGAAATTAAGGTGCAGATTACATTCAATGTGCTTTAGAATCGGAGTACCAACTAGGGATAGGAGGGAGAGAGAGCTGTGGCCACGGAAAGGCAGATGGAAAGGCCAGGTGGAAGGGTGCAGCTTCACACCAGCCTATTGGTGGCCACCACCACCTTGCATTACATTCGACAGCAAATCATTTGTTTGTAAGGCACACCTTCAAAATTGAGGTGCGCCTTACATTCAATGGTGCATTATACTTGAATAAATACAGATAGTAGAATTTCAGGAAGGTCACTATCACATAAGAGATCTCTATGCTCTGTAAACTTAGGTCAAGATCCTGCATCATGACATGGAGCTATGATGACACAGCTCCATTAGCTAAGTTTATATCTGAAGGTGCCCCCCCCCAACAAAAAACCTTGTGATTAACAGATCCTTTGCAAATTTATTAATGAAGTATGACATAGATGAAACCAAGGAATGGATGACAAGGGCCAGATCTGACAGTAGAAGTAGAAGCCGCACTCCAAGAGCATCCTTTTTTATTTTGCCAAAGACTCTGGAGCACTAAATGGAACTTTTCCGTATAGGTGCATTGTGAGGAATTAAAATTTTCACACCCAGCACCAAGCCTGGGTGTGAAAATCCCCAAATAGGTGTCACCAATGGTGGACCCTATGGAGCTCCCTCTATTCTAAGCACTGATGCCTGGCCTGCTTCCTATGAAGATCGTTTGGGGGAAAAGCCAACATAAGCATTAATCCTTTCTAGTTCTGGGCTTGTATAAACACAGCCTTCGTTCTAATAGAGCCTTTCCCACCTTTGCTTGTGGATTTTGGATTGAACGCTGGTTTGAGATGATTGATTTGTTTCTTTCAAGCAGAACAATATTACTGAAGATTAAAATGTTTTTCCTAGATAACTTCTGGAGTGTAAAGGAAGCTTTGTTTGAGGGATTTCTCTGAAGTCTAGGCCAGCACAACTATGCTTCCTTCCTGTTGCTGAAGTTCAGTTAAGTTGAACAGCTTCATTCTGAAGGAAAAAGGTCCTGTTGGAGCTTGTTGCAGTGAAACATGAACTGCATTGGCTTCCTCTATTCCTGGCAAGAAGTGAGAAGGCAGACGGGCATTTACAACCCAGAGCAATGTGCCTCATGGGAAAACTCACAAACGAATAAGGAAAGAAAGGGCAATGTCGTCTCTTTGCTACCGTTTCTGCCTTCCCCGTGTCTTTCTGTTTAATTCTTTCTTTCTGTTCAATTCTTTCCGTTTCTTTCTTTGTTTTGGGTGTCTCCTTTGGCTAACATCCTGTACCTTGTTGCCAAGTCATGTCTTAACCTCACTGCGTGAGAAGGGAGCTTGCTTGCCACACAGAATAGGCTGAAGAGCAGCTAATCCAGTCTGGAGTGGGAGAAACAAAACACACAACAGAAACCAA